CAGGACGGCCGTGGCACGGACGGCCGGGACGGAAAGCCTTCCCCCACAGCCTAATATTATAGCAAGACGAATCTTTATCAACGCCAATCGGCTTATCAAAACTGGAAACTGGAACGTCAATCGGCTATCTTTATCAAAACTGGAGAACGAGAACCGGCAATATTTATCAAAACGGGAAACTTTTACCTTCGGGTAGAGACAGACCACAAGGGACTGTCTAAAAACTAGCGTGTGAGGTGCTGTGTCGGCACCTCGGTCGGCACCTCGGTCGGCACCTTAGCATGCGCTCCTGCTCTGTGGCTTAAGGGTTGAATTTCGTAACTGTACCGGCCCAAAAGTTGGGGGGGCCGGCCCCCCCAACCCTGAAAATTGGGGGGGCCATGGACCCCCCGGCCCCATAGGCTCCTACGCCCCTGTGTAAGGACCTAAAATCCGTGTAGGCTATCTTCATTCCTCTCTAATCTTTTGACAATAGTAGTCGCTATGTCCTAAGATGCGGCGCCTTTTGTATGTACCCGTGTTATACAAGAATATTAAATATCCCCCCCCCCTCTAAGTTGAAATCACCATGTGCCGCCAGAATCTGCTGACGAGGACGAGATGTGATTGGCAGGGCGGTGCCCTCACGTCGCCTTTCATAAACTGGATCGTAAAATTAGGAGCCTGCCTGTGATGCCATGTGATGGCTCCTCCGCGCCAGGGGCCCCCGGGCCCCCGCTATCCTTAACTGGCTGCCTCCCCAACGCAGCACTCCCCCAGCCCCCCTACCCGGTGTAACGGGTCCGCCCCGCCTGGCAGTGCCACGACAGCACGATGCCCCACGTAAATATGCCATATCCCCCAGCGCCGATGGCGGTGGAGAGCTCTCGAGACAGCGTATTTTGCGGAATCATTTCGTGCTGTATTTGTACAGTACAAGTACCTCGGGCCCGAGCTATCTCAACTCAACACCGCCACTTTGCTCTTGCTGCTGCTGCTGCTGCTGCTCTGCACAACTGGGCGAGCTTGTACTCGGGCGGGGGATTCACTCGTCAGCTCCGACTGATAGGGCGCCAGCGACACCCCCTTCCAATCTCTCTCTCTCTCCCTCTGTCCCTCCCTCTCTTTATCTCTCTCTTCTCT